TTTTTTTTTTTTTTTTTTTTTTTTTTTAAAACTCAAATCTACCCACATTTTAGCTTACACAAGTGATGTAGGTTTACCGTATTATTGCTGTTCTAGGGCATTTCTGTTGTGTTTTTATATGAAAGGTTTGTGTTAAACACACTCACGAGTCGTAATAGGTCCGTGTAAGGCTACTTTAAAGGACACCATATACAGAGTTATTGAGCAGTTGTGGGAAGTATAGCGGTGAGAAACCGGTTGTCACACAGCTCTCTGACTTTGGAGCTGTACATGGCTGACTAGGGCACACGGAGGTCAGCGAGAATTAGGCAGTATAGCAGAGCTGTGTTTGGAAATTAGTTACCACACCATTTCATATAAACTACCCAAAAATGATTGGACAGATCTATCTGAGACCTCACAGGCTCAACCCATCTAGCTTGAAACTGGCAGCTGGTGGAGGCTGGCTAACTTTCTCTTAATGCAAATGGGTTATAGGGATTGAATTGACTACAGCTGCTAACTAGTCACTAGAGTTTTACACACAAACTGGTAATGCTAAACAATATTTTCATTATTTTGCCTGTTGTTTGTTGTTAGAATTATTGAAACAGCTAGTATGCTCAGTTCTGTGCTGTTGTATTACTCCAATGTCAAGGTCAGCCAGTGGAGGTTAGTGAGTGGTGAGTTATTGGGCAGTTGTAGGAAGCATAGTTTTGAGAAACCATTTTTCTCCCACAGCTGTCTTTGACTTTGGAGCTATACATGGCTGACTAGGGTATATGAAGGGCAGAAAGCACACACTAGGGCAGCAAGAATTAGGCAGTGCAACTGAGTTGTCAGATTGACTTTAGTGTTCTGTGAAATCAGTTACCATGGAGGGAATTAGCAGAGTATTGTAATCAGGTTTGGGAACAATCATAGTTATTGTTAACAACCTCTCTCTAATTTAGATATCAAGGTCAGTTGTGTTTCCACCACATGGGTGTTATTTTGTATATTGATAAAGGTCAACTATATGTTGTATAACAAAAAAAACAAAACAAAAAAAAAAAACACACTTGAACTATTTTAATTGGTTTTGCGAAATTAACATGAATGGTGACAGGAATGGAGCTAGGGGAGTGGGTTGGGGCAGTAACAAAGTATTTAGAGAAAAAAAGGTGGTAAAACATTCTTTCCATTTAATGCTTAAATGTTAATTACCCTATGTGTATGATTGCTAGCCATTGTAAAGGAGCTAACAAACTGTGCAACATTAGTAGTCATCTCATAAAAAAAACATACAGCTATTTGGCCAAGGGGTGGGTAACTCACTAGCTAGAGTTTAAGGAATTGGAATTGAGTTGTAGCCAGCATTGCTACATTGACAGGGAGAACAGACGGTCTGTTCAACCAATTAACAAGGGGAGAAGGGAGATAGGAAAGCTTGTAATGCCAGTGTCTTATAGTTTCTCATGGATTGGTCATGCAGAGGCTTTTAATGGGGCAGATGCTCAAAATTTAAAAAGGTTTTTAAACACACTACGTATAACCTGCTGTATAACTTTGGCAGCCAATATACACACAGAACATAGCAAATTAAATATGATTGGTATTCAAATTATATGAGGTAAGCGTAATTCTTATGCCCACCGAAATCTGTTTAGAGATATTTTTAGTATATATTTGTTTGATTTTAATGGGATGTCTACTGTTAACTTGGGTCCTTAGAGGACTAGTGGTTAGGCCACAGCGCTCTCACTGCTGTGGCCCGCATTCGATTCCCGGCCAGGGAACCAAGAGTGCGCTCTCAGTGTCGGTCCCAAGCCTGGATAAAATCAAATACGCAGACCAGCCGAAAGAGGAACAACATCTACTGTTAACATGAAAGCGTAGTCTCATACATAAAATTTTATTAATTCATTCATACATCTTAAAATGTAAAATATAAAAATACTGTGACATATGTGAAAAGTCTGACATTGGCTTAAATGGTACACAATGTAAGCCCATGGTTGTTCCAAATAAGCCCACATTATATTTTATTGGTAAAATTATTTTCAGAATGGATTAAAACATCAAAAATAATTATTTCAACAAATACCTGAAGAATTGCTTGAACCTTTACAAATACCTGAACCCTAAACAGCATCTTTCAGTTATTCTAGCCCCTGTAAAACATTTATTAAGGAAAAGATTTGACCAAACTCAACCAGGAATAGATTTTGTTTTTGTAATTTAACTTGATTGTTTGGTTTTCAGTTTGTTTTTTCACTTAATACTGTCCTTCACTTAGATGAAGTTCAGCACTTGCATAGTAAACCTTTCTTTTCTCTCAGAGGTAAAAATTAAGTGCTGATGGGCCTCTATCAAGAAACATCAGGACGTATAAAATAATTTCCATCATTAGGTAGCATAGACTCATTGAGGGCTCATATAGTGCTGCAGATTTTGCATAATAAACAATTATAACAATCAAGAAGAAGAATGACGATCCATCTGTTTGGCCCCTACACTGCTGCAGTGCAATCTTTCATTTTCCAGTTTTTAAAATTGGAGTTATCTTTTTATATCTTTATCTTAGGTTTTTTAATTTTTTAATTTTTTTTTTATTTTTTACAGATTACCTACACACAGTCTGACATTAATATTTTCTAGCCATCTTTTTTTTTTTTTTTTTTTTATGTTGATAACATGAAGATGACATGCTTTTACAATTTTTTTTGGACAGCTCTGTAATTCCTCTTTGAAAGGTATTAAAAAGCTTACATTTTTTAGTGCACAAATTTACTATGAGACCTAAAACATGTATTAACTACATTGCAGGTCCTCATTCAGTATTGGCATTCATATTTTTTTGCATGCCAGTCAGATATCAATCAAGTAACGAATAGCAGAACTGGGTGAAACAACCAACAGTGCACATTATTGTTTTTTTCCCCCTTTCTTTCTTTTTAAATTTGATGTCAAATTCAAAAGTGGGCTTAAAGGGCACACTTGCCCTAATGCATTTTTTATATCATGAATAATGAAAGATAATATGCACTTAATTAAATTCCAGATTTAACATGAGAAAAGTTGAGAAGTCAACCAAAAACAAACCTATCTTTGAATTAAACTAGCGGCGCATATGCCCCACATCAGTGATCCCTGACAGAGAACATTAATATTGTTTATAAAACGGTAACATTCTACCAGTTCTACTGAACTGGTATGTTAAAATATTTGCCGACTATTTTCCCCTGCTAGCTTGCATTTATTGAGTGCTTGGTGTGTCCAGGTTGGTAATTCACCACTCTAACGTAGTCATTCAGCACACAAGTGGCACAGTAGTTGAAATTTTTGTTGCCAGTGTGGTGCAGATACTTCCTATGTGCTCTTTCGCTCACTTCAGACTTCCATCTTCCTGTCCTTGGTCCAGCACCACTTGCTGTAGATAAACTGCAGGTCAGGGAGCACAGTGCGGATGGTTCGCTCAGCTGATCGAACCACCTTCTGGAGAGCCCTCCTGCTTGTGCTATTCCCAAACCAAGCTGTGATGCTCTCGATAGTGCAGGTGCAGAAGTTCTTTAGCACCTTAGAGGGCAGCTTAAAGTCCCTTAAGTGTCTAAGGTGGTAAAGACGCTGACGGACCTTCTTCACCAGGGTGTTAATTAGGGGTACAACGGATCATAGATGATCTGTGATCCGTACGGACCAGGCCGTACGGTTCGGCACACATGTGATTCGTGGATTAACTGTTAAGTTTAACCATCATAGAGTGAAAGTTTATCATTTGCTGGTGTTTTGTCTTGCCAATTTACACATTCAAGCAATTTTAAACCATTCACGTGGAAGAGAACTCGAATCGGGACTCGGGCACACCCGAAGCACGCACATGCAGAAAGAGAGAGGCGCGATTCAGACAGCGCATGAACACCGAATTGATTCCTCTTTTCATGCCTCTTTGCGCTTGAACGGACACATACACACAAAGTTATGTTAAAATACCCATTTTGGCAAGTATTCTGGTAAACACAGTCGGTTAATCAAAAACGTAAACAGCTGAGAAAGAAACAGGATGTGTGTCAGTACTGGGTCAGTGCATTTGTTATTAAAGAGACAGCAGCCTATAAATTCTGTCTGCTAATCAAACACCACCACAGCTTTAACAAAGATTAATCTGTATGTAACTTATGCAGTGAGCACTGTTGTGCTATTTTACACTTAATTATTACATTTCTGCACCTGAATACTACTGTTACTGACTATTTGTAACATTTACATTTACGGCATTTGGCAGACGCCCTTATCCAGAGCGACTTACAATAGTGCTTTGAAGTCTAACTTGTAACTTGTTATTCATCTATGTCTGTAATTGTGTAACTGTTCTTGTTTTATTACTGACATTATTAGTTAAGATAGTAGTTTTTGCTGTGGTATAGGAGTACTTAAAATAAGCTTTCTTATAAATGATAAATAATAAGTAATAAATGAAAAGCAATTTTTAAACTTTTTTTTTTTTTCCGGTCCGAAAAAATGATCCGATCCGTGACTCAAAATCCGTAATATGATTATGAGTTTAAAACTCTTGCCGATGTTCAGGAGGAGGTTGTTCTCCTGGCACCAGTTCTTCAGGCATCATCAGCTATCAGGCCCACAACAACAGTGTTGTCAGCAAATATGACAAAGATGATAGTTTTGGAAGTGGCCATGCAGTCATATGTGTGCAGTGAATACAGCAGGGGGGCTCCAGTGCTCAGGGTTAGGGAGGGTGAGACATGTCCTGTCCACCTATACTGCTTGTGGTCTGTCCGTAAGGAAGTTGGAAATCCACTGACAAAGGGGTGAGCTAAGTCCCAGGTCTTCCAACTTGTTGGTGAGTTTGGAGGGAATTATAGTTTTAAATGCTGAACTGTAGTCAACAAACAGCATTTTAACCCAATTTCCCTTTATGATGTCCAGATGGCTCAGGGCTGTGTGATGGCTTCCTCGGTAGAGTGATTGGGACAGTATACGAATTGTAATGGATCCAGGGTGTCAGGTAATGAAAAGGTGATGAAGTCTCTGACCAGCCTTTCAAAGCACTTCATCAGAACTGAGGTCAGGGCTACTGGGATGATAGTCGTTGAAGTAGGCAGGCTGGGGTTTCTTTGGGACAGTAATGATAATGGACTGAAGCATGTGGGGATTACTGACTGTGCCAGGGAGAGGTTGAATATCTCTGTGAACACTGGTGTTAGTTGGTCAGCACAGGCTCTAAGAACCTGACCTGAGATGCCGTCTGGTCCTGCTGCCTTCCTGGTGTTCATTCTCTTGAAAGCCTTCCTCACTTTGTGCTTTGAGATGATGAATGTGTTTCCCACTCTGCATGCCTGCTGCCAATTAGCGCTGTTAGCACGGTTAGGTGCAGCCTTGAAGCGAGCATAAAAAGTGTTCAGCGTGTCCGCCAGAGAGACGTCTGCATTCACTGTTTTGGAGGATGGTGTTTTATAGTCCGTTATCATTCTCAGTCCCTGTCACATGCTCCTAGAGCCACCCTATTCCAACTGTGACTCTAGTTTCCTCCCGTAGCGCCACTTCGCCTCCTTCGCTGTGCTGTGCACATTGTAGAGCACAGCCTTGTACTTGTCCATGTTCCCGGTGGCGAGTCCCGTGTTGTAGGCAGTGGTGCGAGATCTCTGTGTGTCGCAGATGGTTTTATCCACCCACGGCTTCTGGTTGGGAAATGTTCTGATTTTATCATTCTGGTTTTATCATTCGCCGGTTTCCCTATAAATCCGACAACCATTTCCGTACAAACACATTGTCATCAGAACTGCACCTGAACATGTCCCAGTCTGCATCATCTAGAGTGTCCTGCAAAGTGGCCACCGGTTGGTCTATCCAGCAGGTGACCTCTGTCTGATACCAAGCTTCCTGTTTCAGCCTTTGTTTATATCTAAGACTGTGCCTTGTAGCTGTATTTGAATGGAGTGTAGCAATGGCCCAGTATCATTTGCCCTTGGTGGTGTTGAGTGAGAGCCTCATGTAATTCACATAAAGGAGTGTAGAATATAAACGGCCCTGACTGACAAAGGAAATTTCCCGGGGAAGGTAGAAAGGGCAACGTTTGAAGGTCAGGAGTTCCAGGTTGGGTGTGCACAAGCGTGTGAGGGGAACAATGCTCGCACTGTTGCAACAGCTGCTGTTTACCATCAGACACACTCCCCTTCCCCGACTCCAGTGTTCTGAGGTTGTTGAGCTTGTTCTCCAAAGACTGGACGTTGGCTAGCAGGCTGCTAGGCAGGGAAGCACGGTGTGTGCCAGGCCTCAGCCTGTTCCTGACGCCAGCTCAATTCCCTTGGGGCCACCGCTGAGTGTCTCATGCTTTGTTCCTCCTCAGGATCTCTCTTAGCCAGCGTGGATCGTTTGTTAAAAATGGCGATAGATGAGTGGACTGTAAACCATTAGAAATAAGAGTTTCTATCTGATGATAGCTGTGGTGAAAAGAAAAAGAGGATAAAGTAAGGGAAGGTGCAAATAATAATAAACAAAAACAAAGTGTGGTTGGAGCAGTTGGAGCAGTGATGGCAGCCAAGCTCACCGGTGCCATCTCATCAGTGACATCACCAGCAACCTCTACAGAGCAGTGGTGAGGTTATCACAATCCACCATTTGAAGAAGACTGCGAGAGCAGGAATATAGAGGCTATACCAAAGTGATGGAAAGGCCAAAGTGTGGTGAAAGAAAGTATCTGCTCATGATCCAAAACATACAATTTTGTTGGTCAGACCCTGCATCATGGCTTGGGCTTGGTTGGCTGCTTCTGGAATGG